GTTCTTCCGACGTCTGATTTCTTTTTAATTATAGGAAATGCGTTTTTCTAAGGTACATGAACTTTTGGGATTAACTGTATAGCCAATACATCCTTTATTTTATATCGTTTAATAAAAATCGACTAGTTACGTCTATTTAATTTAATCGTCACGCACATTCACGCGATTCTACGCACATCGACACACAATTACACGCGTATACATGACGCAGGGACATAATCTAAGAGCGTATACAAATTTCCAAGCATTTTACGAAAGAAAATAGCGAGGATCCTTGAATTTCCAAACGGTTTAGTTACTCGGTCTATATTTTTTATTCTAGTTCTCATTTGTTTTCAATAATTTTCCTATAATTATCGCTGGCTCTAATTGTAATGAAATGGAAACATTCCACTGAGTACAATTGGGATCTCTGATTAACTATCATCATTTTTCAGTATTTTATATATCAATTAATATAACATAATTTTTTAAAAGAATTCAATTGAATGGCTGCAAAGTGTATAAAATAAATTCTTATAAATTTCAAAGTTTTCTACAAGGAGAGGAAAATCCCAATTGTACTATAAATCCAATCTAATTATTTTTCGTTAATTTTTCATATTTTAATTGACGCACACAACTCAGCCGCCGATGTTCCTTACTGCTTAATTATTCTTTATATCTCAACGATTTTTATATAAATATTTAAAGGAATCGCTCTCTTATCCGGGATTGCAATTGCAATTAAGAAAAAAAAATGTATTTCGATTTCGCTAAGTAAAATATTCTGCCAAAGATTTGATCGAAAGTGTGATTAAAAAACCGATAGCTTTATTAACGATCGCAGCGTATATTCTTCTACTAAAAATGAAAATTTCAAGAATATGTGTTGTATTCGAACAATCATGAATGCTTGTGCACAATCATACGTGTTTGTCGTCGTCGTCGTGTGACAAATATTGAAAATTTTGTTAGGTTATGAGTAATTGCAATTGCCATTCGACTGCTACTTAATCGTACGAATGAAAACTGAGGGGAGTGTTTGACCAAAAAGAACCAAAGAATCGTATAGAACAATAAATAATACAAGTGAATGAAAAGGGAGAGGTGGGAAGTAATACAGGAAGAGATGGTTATCTGATTGTGTAACGAATAAGCCAAAAATATCTTTTCGTCAATTCTGACTACCAAATTCTTCTCGTTTTCGACTTTGTGAATTCAAATATTCTTTGTATCGTTGGTTGAGGTCTAGGAGGTAAAGGACAATGATAAAAAAAAATAATAATAGTATTACAGTCACCGCCGTTGCCATACTACATACTATAAAAGTCTAATATATATACGTTTTTAGGATTATTGACGATTATTAATTAATTAAGTATTCCTATATGTAGCGAGTCCGTAATTAATTGTATAAATAAGTACGTGCATAGAATTTCTAGTCAAACAAGTGAACGTACTAGCTTGTAAAAATTGCTAACAATCGCGTCGCCACGATTGTATTATTTCTTTTCCTTTCGAAGGCGCATAGAACTTTTATTACTCTTAGTTGTATTAATATATTTAGTTCGTTTAGGGTATTTGTAATTAATTTTGTAATCTACGTAACGAAAGACGAGTAGTCATTTTTCTATTCACGGTTCAAAGTGTGCGGGATTGTTCAGACAGCTGGGGTCTGATTCAGGTGATTAAATGAACAAGTAATTCGATTGATCAGAGGATTCAACGCATTGGAGTCGTTTGTCCAGCGAATTAATTTACAAAAATTGTACGAATGATAATCCTGGAAATTGAGAAACTGTATTGTGAAGTCGTGCACGAGAATAAATAATTGTAACCTTGTGCAATTCTAAATGTGAAGTTGAGGAATTGTTGATTCAGTTACGATTATTAATTCCTTAGGATACGATTGGAAACTTTGCAGGTCTTTCAATTGTTTCTTTAAATAAGAGCCACGTAATCTAACATTTTTCTTACACTCTTCATTCTTCGTTTCAGTTTTTTAATAATCTGTATTTGTTTCTGATCATTGACATTTATTTTTACACGTGAAATTCAGGGATATTCCTAAGACAAATCCAAAATGAAGAAAGAGAGAATGAATACCTTTTCCAGATTCAACGTGAATCTTTCACTGAATGCTGAACATGTTTTACGATTGTTAATTGATAACGATCGAAATTAGACTGCGGAGAGCTATTTAAATGTTTCTTTCAATATCACACGCACAGGCATCGCTTACATTTCTGCACGTTGTCTACTGATTTCATTTATTGTAAACGCATACAAGATCCACAGTCTAAGTACAAAGGAATACGATCATCGATCATTTGGAATCATTAAAAAAGGTGACTCCCGGGGTGGGAATAGGCAGCCGCGTTGTGGGGTCGGGGTTGGCAGTTGAAACTATAAGATCAACCCTAAATAGTGGTTTTATTATCGTAACTATAACGATTTAATGGTAAACGATCATATTCTTATCGATAAACGCTACATGATAATAAACGGAGACGCGGATGTGTACGGAATAATAAGTAACCAGCGAGCGTGGGAGTAACACGGGGGAGAAGTGTGGGATACTAAAACGTCGTGAGAAACTGGGATCATTCATTCGCGAGCCACCGTTCAAAAGCCGAGCCGGTTACCTCCGATTTCTTTTGTAGATTTTCAAAATTTCACGCGTAATCAGGAACCAAGCGATCATTGTTTCCAGACACGAAGAGGAAAATCGAGTCGGTCGGTTCGGTTTTCGACTGGTTCGACAAAAGGGTGAGATGATGATTTAAGAAAAAAAAATAAAATAAATCGTTTCATATAAATAAAATAAATCACATTCGTAGACTCGACGAACTCGACGCCCGTTTCTTTCTTACTTTTATCTTTTCATTATTTTATTGTGAACAAAAGTAAATTGCAGAGAGAGAGAGAGAGAGAGAGAGAGTGTGAGGGAGTGCGAGAGAATGATTGAGTGAATGCGTGCGAGGTGATAGGAAATAAATGGGGGAAATTTTTGTTTCGGGGAATCGATGAAATGAAGAATAGGTTGCGAGAGGTGGATGCTCTCTCATTATACATATATAAATATATATAATTATTATGTAATAATTGTCCATACATCTTGAAATGTCGAAATAAACGAACAAAGAAACAGCCGTCGATCCTTCCTCTATTGTAGATCATAGATACGTGCGTATCTAACGATCCTCATGTCTCGTTTTTTGATGTTGATTTTATATTATTTATTTAGAATCACGAAGGAATAAGGAACTTTGTATCTGGAGAATATAAATCTTTATTTACTGTGAACTTAAAAAAAATATACAATATTTAGATGAACGTTGTAGGTCCAAGAAATGTTCTGAGTTATTCTTCAAATGTTGGCGTATAATTAAATTACAATATTTCCTTTATTTTTTAAATGCTTACAAATCGCTACAATTCTCTCTTGCTCTCTGCTCGCAGTATATAATTAGCACTTTAATAACGATGATAACTAATCTGTACAGATAACGTTGAAACAAACCGAACAGAACTTTAGTTCATGTAAATCCGTCGCTCCTTGGGAATCTGACCGAGTCTTAAAAAAATAAGGAGGGGTGACAATTGAAGAGTCGTCAACAATATCTTTTAGTTGCAGGTACAGGAACACTATACTGGCGGAAGTACAGTGCGCTATAAGTCGCATCCAACGATTCGAACATCGCCAAGCTGTGCATCTAAGAAGAAAACGATTAAATGAAAGAATCTCATCAGGATATTTCTACGAAGAATGAAGTAATATTAAATTAACTCACCGACTTATGTATTCTCGAAGTTCTGTTGCACCTTCTGCCATTTCGCGACCATGCTCGAGACCTCCTTATGTTTTTTACTAATGCCGATCCTCGTCTGAAATCACACGTCAACATACTATTAGGTAATATAAAATATACTATTTAACGTCAAAGAAATTATTAATTTAATTAGGCATACTCGTTATACAAAAGTAAAGAATTACCCTTTTTCTCCTTTTCTCTTTGCCGGGCGTCTCGACCGGAACTGGTTCTGGTTCCATCTCGGGTTTCAGTTCGACTTGAGGCAGCGAAGCCGGTTCCGAGGTCACGGAGTCCTGCCTTTGAGGCACCACCTCCGTTCCAACATTTTCTATACGCGCGATGTCGTTGTAGAACGAATCCAAGGCTGATACGAGCGACTCCTTCGCGGTTTTAACCGGCGGTTTCTCGATCACTTTGTGATTCGTGTAAATCGGAGTGTAATCAGCTATCAGTTGTATCGCGGGTTGCACGCTGTGTTTATGTGGGAGAACTAAGGCCGCGGGCTGTGAAACACGAGACGATTAAATATGCGATTAGAAAAGGAAAAAGGGTAATTGTTAAAAATATGTAACGTACAGCAGCGTGCAAATGTTGATGGTAAGGGTACTGGAGATAATGTTCCTGCACTATGGCTGCCGGGTGACTGAGAATGGGAACCGTCGTCGGATCTCTCGCGGCTGCTTCGTACAACGCGCCAGCCTGCGGTTGCACGCCGTAAATAATCCTTTTTAAAGCAGTCGTGGGAATCTCATAAGGTGCCTCCGTTAGATCAACGCCCGGCGGAAGTGGTTCCGCGGTAGTCACACTGGCGATGCTCGAGGGTTGAGGGGATACTAAGGCCGACGAGAAAGTAGGCACCACGGAATTCTCCAACTGCTTCGCCTCCGCGATCGCCGTACCTTCTATAACACGTAAATCTTACAGACAAATCCTTTGCCAAAGAAGACGTAAGACTCTACCGTCTGATCGTTGTTTCTTGCTATCTAATTTGACTTCGTTGCACTTGTCCTGTTTCCTCTTCAAGTCCTTCTTCAAGTCCTCCGCGTAAATTCGCGGCGGCGGCGGCGGGCTTGGGTTAGAGATTTGCGGCGGCGGAGGAGCCTCCATGTCGCTGCTCCTCGTCGTGATAGTCGCTTCGTTGCTCTCGCCATCCTCTTGGGACTTCTTTGGTTTAGACTTCTCATCCTCGGCTGCAGAATCAATTGAACGTAAGGTAAACAATTCATTGAATTGTTGAAATTACTTTGTAAATCGTACCGGGTATGATCATCTCCTCCTGGTCGGTGGGTGGCGGCGTGGAACAGATTTCCATCTCTTCGGCACCACCGGCGATGCCAGTGTCCGGATAAGTCCACTGCGTGACTCCGGTGGTTGTGTTCTGGTAATAATATCGCTTATGCGACCTGGAAAAAAGGTGACAGCGCGGATGTAGCACGGCGACGAATACGAATCACTTACTTGCATCATTTTGCTTCTCTGTTTCTTTTTATTATTATTATTATTATTATTATTATATTTGTTTTCGTTAATAAACAGTCTCAAGGGACGACTCCCGAGTTTCTGAAGCGAACTTAATTTACAAATTAGCTTAGACAAAACAAATCAGTTGATTCACTCCTACCTGCAGCTCGGCGTGGCCCAATTTTAAGGTCAGCGAGTGGCCCTTTTATTACGAAAGGAGGTTTTAAGCGTTACTTAGCGCGTTAACATAAGCAGAGGGCACAGGTTCGTTTCGTCCGAAATCACCGAACGTCTCGTCTCTCCGCGTTACCCTAAGCGGGGATCGTTAACAAGCTTGGAGGTATTGCGGACTAATTGATTTTCTTTTCCGTTCGAGCAACGACCGAGAGGGACGGCCTCCGATCGTTGCACCGCGATGGACAGATTACAACTTTCTTTGTAACGGAATATATATTTTCATTTGGTAACAAGAAAAAGAGGAAAACTTGGTACATAGATGTAATAGGAGTTGTTGGATCATCTTAGAAAATAGTACGTATACGATTCGCGTGACTTGTCTGTGTATTACTTTGCGCTTCTTTCCTCGTTTCCATATTCTTCAAAGGCTTCTTTCGTTTTCTGTTTACGTTCAACGTTCTCTTCGTTCTTGCCTGTTCTCTTGGACACTCGCGTTATCCGTTTCGTTTTCAACAGTTTAAACGTCCACGATTGAGTCTTTAATCGGACAATCGCGATCCTCCGTCCGTTCGATCACTGTAAATTTCTGTTTCGCCGAGGCTGGTCTTCGTCTTCATGCTTAAATTCACTGAACGTTTGTCAACTCATCCGTGGGCTCATAGTTCCCAGTGTACAACGCACTCACGATTCCTGTGGCTCCACTCTGAACACAGACCTATCTCTCCCTTCTTTTTACTTCAAATCAAGATGTAAACGCGGTGTACGCTCGCACGATCAATGTACAAAGAAAAATCGAGACTCATACCATCCCTCAGGGGATACAAAAACGAGATTAATGATCCTAAAGATTTTTTGCAAAACAATTTTAACTCTGAAATTGATAAAATCAAGTTGATTAAAGTCTCTATCGGGGAACTAGACTCTATCGGTACGTTCACTACGTGGCAAACAAAAGTTGAAAGAAAAATATGTTCGAACACAGTCTCTACAAGTTGGAACAGACACGAGTTTCGGAAATGAACGAAGAGAAAAGAATGCTAGAGCTGAAATCTTTTAGTGTCTCGCTGGAATGATATGTGAAAAGATTACGTGACACTTGAAAAGAACAGATTTTGTTTTAGAATAATGACGTGTATAATATATACACGGTACGTCTTGTATGGAACGATTCATGTTTATTTTTACGAGGTAATACACAAATTTTAGATGGTATACTATACCTATCCCATTGACAAAGCCATCCGAGCGGCGCGGCGTCTTGTTCCAACCGTTCCAGTTCGTGACTGGTCTCAGTCAACCATCTACGCAAGTAATCTTTTTCTAAGCAACCTGCCTCCCACGCGACAAACAACGTCTGCGAACACACGAGAAAGCGTAAGTGTCATACACATCGTTTATCGAAGTAATGATCTGTTGCTTACCTGTAAACGAATAGACATTGTCTGGACCGGAGACACAGCTGGTTTCCCCTCCGACAGGAACTTCAGTTTCTCGAGTATGACCTGCGACAGTGAGTTCACTTCTTCTTCCTCCTCCTTCGAGTCTTCGTCTGGCTGCACCTTCGTTTCCTCTTCGGTGTTAGTCGAATCATCCTTGAAACTTGGAACGTTCTCTTCCACGTTTTCGGGATTGGATTTCTCTTGCTGCTCGACCGCTGGTTCCACGGTGTACTCATCGTAAGTGTTCGTCTCCTCGCGTTGCGCGTCCGTTTCTGATTTATTCGACTCATTGTCGCTCACCTTCGATGGTTTCGATGGAACTGAAGAATAAAGAAACCTTGCAATCGTTCGAGTTAAATGTGATAATAAAATTGAAATAATCACCGTCGAACGCGATTCGCCGTTTCCTTTGGAATTTACTGCGCCCGTGAAGGTTGTCTAGGAATTTATTCCCCTTTTGCACGTCCTCCTCTATCTTGGATTCTCCTTCCAGTCTCTCGGCGAGCTCTTCGTTGTTCTGTTCTTGCGCGTCTCTCTTTTCTATATCCGTGTCACCATCGTTACTGTCTCTCGTTTTCTCGTCCGTGATCATCTTTCGCGGAACTACAACGTCCACAGTCTCTTCAGTTTGCGGAATAGGAAACAAAGCCTTCCGTTCTTGTTTCACTTCAGATTCCTCTTCGGCGTCTGACTCTTCATCATATCCAGGAACCAAAGAAATCCGAAAGTCTATATCGGATTCAACACTGAGTTTGCTCTTAACCGTTCGACCGTCATAATTCTCTACCGATTCGTTGTTCTCTTGAACCGCGTTCTTTAAGTACTTCGCCTCCGAATCCTCGACCAACTTCGAATCAGATTCTACCCTGGATTCCTCTGCAATACCTTTAGTCTCGTGCTCTTGTTTTGGATTCTGGGAGACCGTAGGCAACAGCGGCTGCATTACGACCGCCGGCGAAGGGAACGCCTCGTTGCTCTTCGTCGACCTCGAGCCCTTAGAATCGTTCGACGCATCGTTCTTTGACTGACCCTCGTCCGTATCCGAGTCGCTCTCCTCGCTCCCGTAAGACGTGATCATTTCTATCTTCCTAAATTAATCAGTCGTCCGTTTGAGTATATCACGTCATAGTAAATGCATGCATTAATTCTATAATCTTATTACCCGTCGTCGGAGTCATTATCGGACGCGTTCGCGGCCTCTTGCTCGGTCTGAGACTCCTGCCTCCGGCTAATAGTCTCATTGCAAATATACCTATTACGGTTTCGTGCCACCACCTCCCTCGGTATCATTCCCTCCGGGATATTCTCGTGAGATTGCTGATCTGAGGACGTACGTTTTTATTGACTCACAGTTAAAATATAATTTATAACACCGTTTGTAGGAAAGGGAATTACATGTAACGGACGAGAAATCGACCCAATGAGAAGAATCGTGCACCGGAGGCGGTTTCGCAATCGCGCCCGTTTTTACATTGTTCTTGTAGTAACGCAACTCTTCCGGCATCTCCCATGTTACCTCATTCGTTTCTATATGCCAATAGTACGGATAACCGGAGGATTCGTCTAAACACTCACGCCACTCTAAAAAGAAAACATGATGTTTATCCAAGCATAATCACCTGATAGAACGAAGAATAAAGTGAGAATCGTACTGAGTGCCGATTGATTAATTTGTGTTAGACGTGGATTTGAATTCGTGGCTAAGGCAGCATCGCTAGACTCACTGGAGTCCGATTGTTTTGGAGCAATTAGCTGAATCTCCTGGACAAATTATAATAAGTGATACGTGTTACAACGAGCGTTTAGGTACATAATATAAAACCACTTGCCTTAAAAAAGTTATTCACTTGATCATCTAATTTACAATCCCTTTTGGTCTCCTCATTGTCGCTGTCCGAGTTATAATGGCAGAGTAAATTTGCCAAAGGATTCGCAGGTACATCTTGTCCATGGTGATCGTTGCTTACATGTTTCCATTTATCTAAGAGTCGAAAAACGTTTAAATTTAATAAGAAATACAGCTTGGCTGCTGTTAAATAGAATTGTATCATCTCTTTGACAGAAATTGAATGTATGTATGTCAGAGAACATAAATATCAAATGGTGCATGCACTTTGGAATGTTTCTATTAGGATTGTAATCATGTTTACTCTGTAAGTGATCCGGATGGGAGCTAGATTGCGACTGATTAAGCTCGAGAACAGGCCTTCGTTGACGCCGCTTCATAATAAAATATAAACTATGTTTTATATATGTTACTGGCAATGGAGATAAATGTATCTGGAAATATCAACATTCGGATGAACAGAACGTTGAGAGCGGTGACGAACCGCGTGACTCGCCAACGCGAATCTTGACCCGAACTCCACGTACATTTAAACTGAAAATATACGCTCTGATCAACAATGTAAAAACTTGATCATAACCTCAAGTCTAATCTACTAGCAACGGGACCAAGCGCAAGCGCCCGATACACGCGACATACTGAGGCAGTGATGGGCACATCATCCGTCATCGTGGGATTTTTTACCCATGCGCACTGTAAATTTCTACTTGCTTTTTTGAATATGACTGAGTGATTCTTCGGTAACATTTAGATGCTAGCTATTCGAATTGGATAAATTACATCACTTAGGATGTTCCTCGGTTGTTCAGTGCTAATTTTAATTGCGATTCACTAACATCGTTTCGCTAGAAACCGAGGTTTTAGCAGAGAGAAACTTCTCTCTAGCTTTAGTTTTATCTTTTCAATGCTCGATCAGGCGTTTATAGAATTGTGGTCGATACTGTTTGACACGTCAAAGTAAAAACAATTTTAACCTACGTCTGGATAAATAGTTACTGATGTAATTTTGTGTTGAAATTGAATGTAAAGGGGCTGTGAAAATACAGGAACGGTGTAAATTATAAAAATAATAAACGTTATTCGTTCATTGTATCATTTACTTATTATTTAATCAATTAT